CTCGGGGCTGCACGAGCTCTGATGACGACACAGCTGTTCCACGATTGGCCGGATTCACCGCATGACAACGATCACGTGCGTTTCGTGTTTATTCTCACACCTTTAGTTCCACTATAGCTCACAAATCAGTTTTTTAATAACAGTAAACACTCTTTTCATGTAGTCGCGATTTATTGTGTTATGTTTATCAAAATAAAACTGATTAAAAAACGTTGATTCCACTTCATTGATAGTAGGCCTAGCTGTAGGCTTATGTTGAACTTTATTCTTGTTCAAACAAACGCTGTATGAAGCAGTAGGCTACATAAAGTATTGAATGAAAATGTCTCTGAAACATCTGTGTATTTGGCAAATATTGCATTTATTTCACTTCAGCTGTGGTAAAGTAGGCTATACAAACACCACGTGAGCGGTCACTACGGGAACCAGAAAGTGTCCGACTTCACGTCTCCGTTTGCAGCTCCTCCCCGCCTGCAAGCGGCTACTCTCGCCGATCGCTTACATCCAGCCGCAGCCGATGTCGAACACACCTAAAGTCTCCGTTTGCAGCTCCTCCCCGCCTGCACGCGGCTACTCTCGCCGATCAGTTACATCCAGCCGCAGCCGATGTCGAACACACCTCATGTCTCCGTTTGCAGCTCCTCCCCGCCTGCACGCGGCTACTCTCGCCGATCAGTTACATCCAGCCGCAGCCGATGTCGAACACACCTCATGTCTCCGTTTGCAGCTCCTCCCCGCCTGCACGCGGCTACTCTCGCCGATCAGTTACATCCAGCCGCAGCCGATGTCGAACACACCTCATGTCTCCGTTTGCAGCTCCTCCCCGCCTGCACGCGGCTACTCTCGCCGATCAGTTACATCCAGCCGCAGCCGATGTCGAACACACCTCATGTCTCCGTTTGCAGCTCCTCCCCGCCTGCACGCGGCTACTCTCGCCGATCAGTTACATCCAGCCGCAGCCGATGTCCAACACACCTAGAAGCTGCGCTGGCTGAGTTCTCCGGCTACTCTCGAATCGCTCTCGCGGTACTTTGATGGCATACGTCACAGTCACGTGGCGTCGGCGCTGTATCAAGTCGGACAAAATTTCTAACCGGCATGCACTGCTTCAAGTCAGCCGCCGATCGGTCTGCGCAGAGCTGCATGAAGTCGAACAAGCCTAATAGTTCGAACGTCAACAAGAAGTGATGTCACCCAGGATCGCTTAGAGAACCTTTAATTTGGGATATGATCATAACACACACTGTTTTCATTTTTTGGGGGGTTTACAACACTATTATATATCTCATTTATATATATATATTTATGTGTGTGTGTGTGTGTGTGTTTAATATTGGTAATCATGGGCGGCGCTAGGGCGGGCTAGCAGTGCTTCAGCACCCCCAATAAAGACCAAAGCACCGCCAAATATTATTTCTGAAATCAATTGGCCTATATTCAGGCTGTGTTCTATGCAGCCCTGAAACAAATGGTGCAGGGAAAAAAGAAAACGTTCTATTTCGAGATATTGAGTCATTATTTCAACATAATTAGCTGTTATTTCGACATAGTTATTTGACGTAATAACGGGACAGTCTAATCTGCATTAAACCACTTTAAGCGTTCTTGTAATGATTTTCTATGGGAGAAAAATGCTTAATAACGTGTAATTAAACGCGTTGCGTTCATAGTCTGGGCTCATCTGATTTTTTTTGTATACAGTGTAGCCTACTTTATTATGATTTTAGTATCATAATGATTAATAAATGCATGCACAATTATCCGTGTACTTGTTAAATGTTGCAGATATGATTTACAAACGAATGCCTTTCAACTTGTGTGTGCAAACTTCAGAATTAAATGAATGTGCAGCCATTTCTACAAATAAACAGTCTGTAAGCCTACTATATGTGTTGTAGCCATTAAATAAGCGCATTTAGTTTCATATTTGTTATGTTATTTTTTTCCATCTGTGATTATGAAAAGTAGTCAATATATCGAGAGACGTGGGTCGACAGAGATGATTTTGACCACTTCATTAAGTTTTGTTTTGTAGAAAGCCTTTCTTTAAAGTGAATTTCGTTTTGTATAAATTGTATCTTAATTTTACAATTTCACGTTCACTATAAGGAGATGGTTATGTACGGATAATGTTTTATGGGTTTCTCTGTCTGTTCAACTTCTGTTTATTCTGCATTGTCTCCTCAATCAAAAGCATCTGATTCAGATCAGGTCATTAACAGGGGCTTTATACAGAAGAGACATGTGCAGTGTGTGGTGCTGGGGTGACTTCAGGACTGTTCTACACTGCACCAGCCCAACAAGCATATAGTCTGGGATAAATATGCAGGGCAATGTACAACACTGTGTTTGAATGTACTGTGAATGTATAATTTTTCACCTCTTCTAAAAATAAGAAACATTTTCTTGGTCTTGTCACCAAACTCTTTCTGAACCTCACTTAGACACAGTACAGTGTTTCCTAACCCTGAACACAACAGCACTGCACGTTGTTGATGAAGTCTCCCTCCTCGGACTGCTTTATGTCTGAGACTCCACTGAAGAGCTGATGAGTGGATTGAGATGTGATTATGATGGAAAGTTGGAAAATGTGTGGTGTGCCTCCAGGAACAGGGTTTGGAAACAGCCTTTTTTTAAATGGTAAAATACAGTCCCTATAAATGTCTGCAAATAAATATGACAATCATGAAGGGAGTGCAATGTGATAGTTTACTGTATACAATATGTACATTTCTCTCATCTTACATCAAGTAACCGTTAGTGTGTAGTAGGCTGTAAGTGTACAATATTTGTGTAAGATTTTGCACTGTCTCTCAAGTATTTGTATGTTAATAACCCTTGAACAACAAGGGATAGAAG